CCCCCTCACCTCTCAATCTATCTGCGCGAAAATTCTGTAAGTCAAGTTCAAAAGTTGAAACAAGGCAAAGTCCAGTTCCGCGCTGCTACAGAACAGTTGGCCGGCTAACTGTTTCGTCGTTCAGTAGTAAAAAATGAAAACAAAAGAAGCTCAAATATATAGATGTATGTATATATCTTTTTTTTTTTAATTGGTGCTTATGTTTCAAGTCCAAACTGCTTCAGGCGGTCATCCATGGTCGCAGAGAAAAGTGGTCGTATCAGACAGGTGCCCGTCTTACACAGTGTCACTGTAGTGTGAAACATACGCGAGGGAGAAAATGGGGAGTGGCCTTTTGTACAGGTAGTTGTCTTTATGTAGGTCGTGGCCGTTAGACCGGGTTCAACTGAAGTATTCTTACATTACCTTCTCTAACTTTCATCGCCCACAAATCACCCACCAAACAGTGGGCTGACTGTTTTGCCGTAGTGCGGAACCGCCCATGGCAAATGACAGCTGGCAGGAGGCGAGATGGTCGAGGAGAGTCGCCGTCGAAATGGCCATATTATTAATATAATTTCAAGTGGGGCAATGACCCTTCAAGGAACGTTAGAATAAGCTGACCACACGAGAGCGTATAAACTATTATGATCAACACTCTTTCGAAATATCTGGCGGTATCACAACACACGGCTTCAGGGCCCAAACGCGCAGGCGGTCTGGTCTGGTCTGTGTTAAACAATAGGTCGGTTTTGTCCTTGGTGGTGGTGGTGTTTGTTTGTTTGTTTGTTTGTTTGTTTGTTTGTTTGTTTGTTTGTTTTTTCTTTTTTATTCCTCGATCAAATGCACATACTTTCAAATGCCACACTGTAACTTCAAATACCACATTGCAATTTCAAATGCCAGCAAGCAACCTCAAATACAAACAAAGAATGTTCAAATGTGAACATATAAACTTCAAAGAAATGGAACAAAAGCACAAATTAAGAGCCACATAACACCACGTAAAAGATATGGGGATGAGGTGCAAAATAGAGAAAGGTCGACAATATACTACAGTACTAAAGTTTACGGTAAACAAAAGTTAAGAGCTCTGAAATTTTACATTAAAATATCTTCTCTTGAGAAACACGCAGGCATAAACGTCAGCATGCCCCTGAAGGTTACCTCCACATACAAGATCCCAGAAATCTAAAACTCGCTCATGTGATTCATGAAGACGTTCTTTGTCCTCTCAACAAATCTTTTTGGGCTGGCATTATGTGATTTCTTCATTAGTGTCTGGCCAGATCTACTTCTGAGTTCGTCGTCCAGCCAAATCATCAATGTGGCGTCCTCGCGAAAGAAGTGTTTTAAAAACCAACAAGAGCATACTTTAAGTTACAGTAAAAACATGTACAATGTGATTTTCAGCTTAAAAACAATGGCACATTTGGAATTGAAAATTGCACGCTTATAAATAGTGTCATAATGAAAATATGCTTAATGCACATCTGATATCACAAAGAAGTACTTAAATTCCTGTCTTACAATACTGCAACCGGGAGTTACAATACTATGTGGCGCTTGAAAACACCTGGGTGTGTATTGAACCGGGGAAAACTTTACACAGAACTACAACCTAAACGATTCGAGCGCTAGGGGTCGCGTGGGCTGAGGGTGGGCTGGTGTCCCGTTCTGTTACTTATGTTGTACCCTGCAGTCAGAATGGGTGGGTCAACGTCATTTTACTAATCATTATATAATAATAATCAAATCCTACTTGCCCAAACAGCCAGGCGTAGGGTGGGTGAAAGGGGCGGGTGGTATATTTCTGCACTATATTCAATAATACGAACGCATATTCAGCTGGACAGATCAGCTTCATTCTGACCAGTCATTGTTTTGTTTTGTTGTTGTTTTTTTTGGGGGGGGTTGTTGTGTTGTGTTTGTTTGGTTGTTTTTTGTTCGTTTGTTGTTGTTGTTTTGTTTTGGGGGTTTTTTGTTGGTGTTTTTTTTTTTTTTTTTTTTTTTTTGGTGGGTAAGAAAAACAAATCGAAGTGAAAACAAAGTCCTTTACAAATCCTTGAGTAACATTCAAGGGCGATCTTGCACAGCTGTTATTTGTCGCGCCCTCAAACACGTCCCACCCAGCAGCTGGTCCTGAGAGGCACTGTTAGAAAAAGCTGTTTCCAGCGAGCATTCTTTACGGGGCTTGTTTCCACATTAAAACTGTCGCTTTCGATGCACTTCACGTGGATGTTTTGAACCAAGAAACGCCTAAAGTTGCGTGGGTGCCTTTGATTTCTGGGAAGCCATCCAAGGACGGTAAGTAACGGTAATCAAAGCCCAATGCTGACCGATCAGAATGAACGCGATGACGTGTCCATGTACATTCATCAATGAACACACGTTCAGCCGTGCAACGACAACCGTGAATCTCACGCGGCCAAGTTCTGGGGCTAATTTGTTCAACGTAACGACAACGACGGTGTATCCTCTAACCAACATAGCAGAAAGTTACTATCCCGTGGGAAGCTACAGGGTTTGTCGTTCTAATAGCACGGCTTCGTCGAGTTCATTTATTTCCTCCAGCGAAAACTGACGCAAGACCTAGAGGGGGACCGTACACCGAGATACTGATTTATGTGGACATCCATATATAATGAACGCCTTGAAGGCAACAGTTCACAGCCTCTATACATATACACAGAAAGAACTGCCCAACAAGGAAACTTTAACACCCCCCCCCCAAACCGCCGAAAAAACAACCAACAAATAAATAGCCCAGTGAACAGGAGAGAAAAACCTAAAGAAACACTAAGTTTCCAGTGGAAGGACAGAAACTATCTACCTGCCGGGGCCGAATATGACGATGTTGTACGCATGTACCACGCAATAAATCATTATTGTCCTTTTGAAGTTCTTGGGAGTAAATGTGTGTACTATTCAACTACCAGTCAGAAAAAAAAGATTCAGAGAGTAACAGCGTGTTAGCTACTATAACCCCCCCCCTTCCAATCAGCACAAACGAACCGTATCAACTTTCGACCGAAACAAACGTCCGAGGGCTACAAGGACACACCTAACAACTGCCACACAGACCACAACATAGAATTCTTAGGTCATTCAGTCTGGCATTCCGTTTTTTAGTTTTAGTAAGAATTTCACGGCACTTGAAACACAATAAGGTCATATAAATGCCAAAGATTAGAGGTGTTACAAGAGAGCAACAAACACAAAAAAAGAAGGAGGAGATATCAGGACGACAGATGTTTGAGACGAAAAATAGAGAAAACCCCACCAGAGCACCCGCCAACCACCCACATATAATAATATATATGAATATATATCGAAACATAACATATACCAACTGTTCAGAGACACTACCCTAATATGACCAACTTGTTAGTTACACTTACATATGTGAGGTGTGCTGACAAAATGAGTTACTTCTCACAATCCACTAAAAGGATATACTGACCAAAAATCGACACTCGGGTAAAATTTGTAGATTTTCTATTGATGACATATTCTTTCAGTATAACAAACCTTTTATCATTTCACACTTAATAATATATTGTAAAAACTTCACCGATAGGCGCGATGTGTTTATTTCCATAGGTATCGAATCTCAGAGGTGACTCATTTTGTCAGCACCCTTCACATATTACATTATATAATTTAGAAAAATAACAAGTATCAACTATTCAACAACATAACGAAACGGTAACCAACTGTACTCACTTAGGTTTGGTGGCACGAGTGGACACAGCGGTAGCTGACCGGAACTGGCCCCAGGCCCCACGGACGTGCTGTTCGGAGCCTTTCCAGTCACATTGGTCGACCCACCCGTCACATTACTGACGGTGGCCAATATCTGAGAAGATGTGTGCTGACCCACACTCAGCGTGGTAATCGTACTGCTACTTGCCCCAATGGCATTCCCCGTAGCTTGATTACCGTTGTTGCTGCTGTGGGTGTTGTTGCCATGGAGCGAGGCGGCGACAGCCCGAGTGGCCGAGGGCGTGGGGGAGGAAGAAGTGTCTTGCGAACTATAGATCCGATAGATGAAGAAATTCACGACGCAGAACACGATAAGCAGGTTGAACACCTTGAACTTGCTGCAGCGGTCCATGGCGGCGAGGCAGCGTAGATCTCCAGTAGCACAAGGTAGACGCACAGACTCCCTCCCAGGACTCGGTCAAAAGAGTGACCAGGATGAGCAGTGCTGGGTGCGCTGGCAAAAGCTTGCCTCAGCCACACCTAGGAGCTACGTACAATCCCAAAAATAAAAGTACGTCTCCCGGGTGTAGGTAACAACATCAACATCAACTGGAATAACCTGTCAACGCGGTCATCTCTGAAACTGAGCACACTTCTGATGTGTCAAGAAACTCTGGAAAGTGGTACAACAACAAAAAAAGAAAGAAAAAAGAACAGAAAAGAAAAGAAAAGGAAATACACCCTTGAATCTCGAAGTCCAGATATATTCAAAACTGGCATGAACAGGGGTAGGTTTCAGACTTTCTGATAAGAAAAAGGATCTCGGTGGTCTTAACGCCGTATGTAGCTCTGTGCCTACCAAGGATCCCAGTTCTCTCAAGACTCAGTGTCACTTTTTTACCCCTTAACGGGATCCACACCGCCTTGAGACTGCGTGTGTCGTTCTCTGCCTACCTGGGATTCCAGTCGGGTTGGGACTGCATGTCACTCTCTGGCCACCATCGATCTCAGTTGTCCTCAAAGTGCGCGTTGCTTTTAGCCAACCACAGATTCTAGAAGTCCCGACACCGTGTGTCGCTCTTTTGCCTACCACCAGCGAGTACACAGTGCACGAGGATATCTGTGCACGAGCCAACTCCGGTTGGTTCTACGCTCTCTCCTCCAGAGAACGGCTCCCACTCGAAAGCACAGCTTTGAGTAGATTCCCTCCAAGTAGGGTAGAGACCATCGTTACCACGTCACCTTGAAAGGGATGAGAGAGAGAGAGAGAGAGAGAGTTTTAGTTTTTAGTACGAGTTTTTATGGTACTTGCAACACGATTAGGTCATATTATGTGTCAAGGTAAGAGAGAGAGAGAGAGACAGAGAGAGAGAGAG